GTATATTCTACAAGCAGTGCATTGCCAAGTCGAAGTACGAGAGGGACCGTAAGAAATCCAAAGATAGGATGCGGAAACATCAAGAGCTGCAAGTCCACCACAGGCTAGACTATAGCCGCTGCAAAATGGATTCCATCTTGCGGCAGTCCGAGTGTCTGTGCATCATTATTGACGGCATGGATCAAAAGAAAACTACCATACCGCATATAGGACAGGCTAACTACTCGAAGGACTTGCACCACGAGAGGATGATGAAGACTGGTATCACGCCGTTCTGGTCTATGGTCGGGATCCGTCTATATATGTTTATACATATTTTCCTTACTACACACACGGTCCCAGCAGTAAGGCGACGTGTTTAATGTGGACTCTTACGGAGATCCAATCCAGTGGGAAACCTCTACCGCCGTTTCTTCGTATTCAAGCTGACAACTGCTTCAAAGAAAACAAGAATAGATTCATCTGCGCGTTGGCAACACTTCTTGTGAAGTTCGGGATTTTCAAGGAAATAGAAATTGGTTTTATGATAGTTGGACACACGCACACAGACGTTGATGCCACGTTTAGTGTTTTCTCCAAGAAACTCAAGGACAATGATGCGTACACAATGGATGAGTTGTTCCTTTTACCAGAGCGGTCTCATAAGACTCCTCCGCGGTGTATTTTTCTTGATAGGATAGCAGACTGAAGAGGTCTTATTTACCCGCATGTTTCAAAGCRCATGACAGGGATYTCGAAGCCTCATTTGCTGAAATTCTRCATGATAGGTGATAATCCCGCCATGTCCTATAAAGAGTATTGCACAGACGCTAAGTGGTTGCTCGAGGATGGTCCTCTTTACTGGTTCAAACAAACAGACAACGGCGGTTACGCTGGTCCGCAGCAACCTTTCGATCCTCTGCCGGTCCAACCGGCCTTCCTCGACGATTACAAGAACGGTTTGGAGGGTGTGAAGAGGTTATTGGAAGTCTATGAAAAAAAAAGAGAAACTTGGATGACTTTCCGAGACGAAGAGGTGACTAGAATCGATAGGGCTTTTCGATTTTGGGAAGATCACGTCAAACACGCGGGGGACATTATGGACAACGAGGTGCCTTCGGCACCCATCACCGAATTTTGGCCAAAGGCCACCCATGTCGTTGAAGACAGGAGTTCTTGCTCTGATTCGGATGCATAAGAACTACAGAGAGAACCTCTATTCGTGGGTCTTCAAAGGGACAAGCCTAAGGCCAACTTTGATCCTTTCGAAGATGTGCATGTCGACAGTTTTGTCATTATGCAACCGTCAGACGAGGACATGCATCAAGGAGTGCCTTTTTGGGTTGGCCAGGTTCGCAGTGAAGTTGACAAGAACGAAGATTCGCCAACTTACAACCAATTCAAGGTGGAGTACTGGGTTCCAATCGGAAAAGCAAGCACACTAAGAGAATTGTATGCCGACGTCTGGGAAAAAAAATGGAAAAAAGCTCCAGGGCACGAGGAGCAGTATCAACATGTCATAACCGTTGCGTTTTCTTGGATGAGACAAACGAGGACGAATGTCTGCGAGTCCTTCAAAAAGTTTACCATCGGTCTTGTGATTCCTCTGAAAGTAAGAGAAAATGCAATTCCCGCCCTAGAAAACGGCGTTGGCGCTCAAACACAAAGCGTTTCCGGAGAAGGGAGCGGGCAGGAGGCTACCTCATCGAGAGTGTGATGGTTGTCATCTTTTCGTGAGGAGAACGTATTGCCATGCTGGCCTATGCACACCACGCTTGACTCCATGGAATACATCGCTTAATGATTTGTGCTCTCTGGGTTACGGGCTTCAAATCAACAAGAGTTCTTCATCAATTTTCGGCATTGGGCGTGGGGGCGTTTTGGTCATCGTAGCATGACCTCGGACTTTCGGTCCTGACCTTGATGTGACGCTTTTATTGTGACTTTTGTCTTTTGCAGTGCGCAGACTTTCCTCTTCTGACGTACTTCGAAAACATGGATGAGATTTTGGGCTACATTGAAATAAAAGTACCTGAACGACTGACGATCATCACAAAGGGAGGAACGATTCCTTTTCAATATGAGAGAATCTTCAGGATCGTAGCGGGAGGACGGACAATGTTTGTCATCATGGTGAGGTTTACTGATCTCAACATTTTGGACATGCGAATATATGAGCGTCGGGGGAAAAATTGGATGCGAGGAGATTTTACAAGAGCTTATGTAAAAGCTTCAGAAGTTCTTTTCGCCTTGAGACGTGCTCTGCTCGGAGCAGGGGGTGACATTCAGGGTTTCTCGTTTTCCATTACGGAGTTTGAAGGTCTGCCTCAACCTCCAATCCCGGCTTGCATGGTGGACGGTTCGACATGGGAACCGATAGTGAACGCTCTGCAAAAAGGCTTCTTCTGAGGACTTCAACTTTTGAAGACGTTTGGTGACCAGTCTTACGTTCCTAGAATTTTGTGTCAGTATGTCGGATTTCTGAACATTTTCGTAGTATAGTTATTTCTGATTACTTTTAATTTTCACCAGTTTAAGAGACGAGTCTCGACACTTCCCAAGTTTTGTGGTCGAATGTCAGATTAGTTGAAATTTGCGCACTGTAAAGTATTAAGTGAAAGCCACGAGTGCCGACCGTGGCTCATGGTCGGTTGTGGTTCGGATGCATCCAACCCAGAGAATAAGGATACTGTTACGACAACCAAACACAAGAGCGTCAAGGGGGAAACAGGATGCTAGGGGATTTTACAGCACCTTATCTGCAAGCTGCAGATGTTCTTGTGACCTTGAGACGTGCTGTTGTCATGGCTGGGGGAGACGTTCTAGGTTTCTCGATTTCCATTACGGGTTTCGAAGGTCTGCCTCAACCTCCTATCTCGGCTTGCATTATGCACGGTTCAACATGGGAACCGCTAGTGAACGCTTTTCGAAGAGACTTCTTTTGAAGATTTCAAATTCGGGACACTTTGGTGACGAGTCTTACGTTTTTAGAGTTCCGTCAGGATGTCGGATTTCTGAATGTTTTCATAGTGTAGGTTTTTTTAAAGAGACATCTCGACATTTCCAAATTAGAATGTCCGATTAGTTGAAATTTCCACAGAAACTTTTTGGTTGATTGTGGACGGTCCGATATAGCCTTGCCAAATCTTTGGTTAATGGAAACTTTTTAGGTAACCGTTATGAATTCACAATATTGGGACCAGATAACTGTTATCAGTTTCTAAGGCGTACTTCTCATTTGTCTCGACAATGGTTGTGTGCCTGCTTATGTAGGCTGGGTGTCCCGCTCTGTTTTTAATTTTTCTTCGCTTTTCAATGTAGTTCTCATGAGTTGTCAATTGTCTTCAAAATCCAGTGAGATCTTTCAAAATAATTATAAGGTCTATGGTCAGTTCAACATCTGATAATCTGTACAAAGTTTGATTCGGATGTATCCTACGCATTCGTTTGAGCCTTCTCCAATGCCCAATCCTCAGATGATAACGTCTCTATATAATATGCTCCCCACCACTTCACTCCGTATGATGCCCGTTTGTTTTGAGAAATGTTTGGTAAAGTGATAATGTACATGCAACCGCCATCTAATTGAAATTTAAGACTGATGGTTACTAGAGTTCTTAAGGGGTTTCCGAGGGTGCACTTTTGTTTGTTAACATACATCATTTGATCTCGGCAAGGACAGTGGCGGAGTGGTGGGCAGCATTGGGTAGGGAAGTTACAAGTTCATGGTTGCGAGGTCTTACCCGACAAGCGGCAAATGATAACATCTATGTATAATGCTGCCCACCACTTCACTCCGTCCGGTGCCCTTTTGTTTTAAGAAATGTCTGCTAAGCTATAATTGTTCTTGGAATGATAACGTATTGGTTAATTTTCCCTCGGAGGGTGATCCGGGCTATGATCATAAGTTCATCCTTTTGATTGAGTGAACTTCAAAGATATTTAATGAATGACGCACGGTTTATAACATAACGGATTTTCTCCATCCGAATAATGAAATATTTGATTCGGATATATCCCAGTTTTACTATAAAACTAGCCAACTTGTGTATGATGGATTATATCGACACATGTGACTCGAATGTATCCTACTCATCCTACTTGTATTCAATCAAAATTCAAAAGTGAGCTCTTCTTTTCACTCCCATGCACCCTTTAAAGCCTCAACGAAAACCTTTTTTGGGTCGATCATATACGTCCCTCACAAGGGGAAACCTTCGATATGCTACGTTCGTACTGACTGTCTGAATGTGTGCCAGTTTAGTTGAGGATTTATCCGTTGAACAGAGACTCTGATCGTTGTTTATTAATGTATAATGAGCATCTTCTTTCGTCAGCCGTGTATACCTTTCGAGTTTCTCGAACGACAAAAATACTATATAGAAAATAATGTATTATTTTAATGAATAACATGTTCATACCAACTCATAGGGACCAAGCATAAGGAAGATGGAGGGAAAGGGTATGGGAAGTTTGATAGAGGCCGAAGGGGTACAACAGGATCCACATTCATCCAATCATAAAAAAACAGGCGGTAGTCTCTTTGGAATTCATCCCTCGGCTACATGTATTAATATGTGGTCTCTTGTAAATAACATTTATAATTTTATATATACCGTGCGAATGCATGCGATAAGCGATATGCACTGAATGGCAACTTGAGAAGTCCATGACACTCAAGTGGACTTGCGGTGTTGATGAACACATGGATTTCAGATGAGAATCAGATCTAACCTGCTGAGCTTAAGAAGGGCTGGTAAGTCTGGTAATCCGAGGGGATGAAAATCCAGCCTCCCATAGGGGGGAACTCTGGCCAACGGTGGGAAGGTCCTTAGGGTGCCTGGGTACCAATGGGAGTCTCCCAGCCTCGACCGTCCACCTACACCGGTTACCCGCGTGGTAGTTTTCCTTGCTGGTATTTTCATTGTTCCATGCTTGACACCGTTTCCGGTAATAAGCAACTGGACTGCCATCCTGTGTGTGCGGGTTCAAAAAAAAAAAAAAAAAAAAAAAAAAGCCAGCCTCCTGCTTTTGCTATTTCAGAAAAAGGAGACCCTCCCATATGCCGGTGGTGTAAGCCCAACACATGCTGGTTGACTTCCCCAATTGGGGAAATGGTCGTGTTCCCCTGATGGACAGGGATACTGGTATGATAATACATATTACGCTTAGGAGAGATTCAAGAGAGAGCCACCTTCTTCCCCCGAATACAACGTACGGTCATTATAGGCTTTATGGTTGTATTTGGGGCATCTTCCAGTCTAAATACAGCTATAATGACCATACGTTGTATTCGGGGGAAGAAGGTAGGGTTGTTAGTACTTGCTGCCTATTGTGCAACAGGGGATCATCAGATAGGCAAAAACAGAAAAGAAGGTGGGATGTGGCAACAATGATGATAACATCTTGGAATTCTTGCCAGACTTTGTCAACAAAAGCCAAACTGGCAAGATGAAAAAAAGAAGGCAGAGATATTAATCCTTTTAGAACTTTTGCTCCTTCATTTCGACTAAACCCTCCGGAAAAGAGAGAGGTGTGCAATAACCCATGCCATATGTGTCGTGGAAGCTAAGGGTCATTTGAGGGCCTACTTGGCTGCCCTCAGGCCAGGCCAAAACAGGGGAAAAGACCCCACACGAACTTAGGGCCTGGGCGTGTGACAATTGACTTTAGTTAACTGTCGGTCCATCCAACAATCAAAGTCTAAAGGTACCTAGCCTAGGCCACTGGTCAAGCACACACGCTTGTTTGTATGCAGGTACCCAGGCAGCATCAGGTCCAAGGGAGAAGTCTGCAACTGTACAATCCGGGCCTTCAGATGTGAGTCAATCTGGACGACTGAGGGAAAGCACCGAGGCCAGGCAGCCTCGATATCTGCTACTTAAGGCTGGCATTGACGGAGTCCAGCATTCAGTCTTGTTATGCTGCTTTGACACTGGCTCGACTTTGACTAGACGCTGGCTTCATGCTGGCACAACGCTGGCTACACGCTGGCTGTGCTCAGGCGTTGCGGACGACGGCACGAGGAGGCAGCATGCTGGCGCTTCCTGCATTATGTGCTGGACTTGCTGAGGTGGCATGCTGATGTGGCACTACCTATGGTCTACATTGCATGCTGATGTGGCGCTACCTCTGGTCTACATTGCATGCTGATGTGGCGCTACCTCTGGTCTCTGATGTGGCGCTACCTCTGGTCTACATTGCATGCTGATGTGGTGCTACCTCTGGTCTACATTGCATGCTGATGTGGCGCTACCTCTGGTCTATATTGCATGCTGACATGGCGCTGCCACTGGTCTTCATTGATGATGTGGCATATGCCACCTATCTCGACTGCTGACGTGGCACTGTCCACGCTGTCTACATGAGGTGATTGGTTGCATGGAGGAGGAAGATCGGGATCTATGGATGAAGGAGGTCGGGTACTCACTTGAGGTTGACGTCGTCACTGGAATCCGCTATGTCTTCACGGTCTTCACGAGATTAAGTGCCACGTGGCACTATTGTGTGTGATCAGGAATATACTTATTATCATTGTTGACATGGAGAGAAAAGAAGCCCGGAGAAGGAGAGGGATCAGAAGGGATTCTGTGTGATCTATCATCTTCTCCTTTGTCTGCTCCCCCTCCACTCTCTTCTTTGATGGTAATGATGTACTGTTTAAGATTTCACTTTACAATTTTGAGACTTTGATGCAGATAATGAAACTACTGATGTTTGACGACTTCTGAGTATCTGCCAGACTGGGTTCATTACAATTTGGTATCAGAGCAACCTCTTCATCGCAATCTGTTGTCTGTTGTCAGGTGCTGACGTGGCACCCAGGTAAGTGGGAAGTGCCGCATGTGCAAAACGAAACGCGTTTATTATCGCGCGCGGTTATACCGCAAGTCTACACATGGTACTATTGCACGTGCGAGCAGCTATCCCTTGAAGATGATGACAAGGCTACATTGAAGATTTCAAGGTACCGGCAAGAGCTTCGTTGGCAATGTGCTGACGTGGCGCTGGTGCAGAGAGAGATTGGTACCACTGATGTGGCACATTGTTTATGTGGCATGCATGGCGTGGTTTGAAGTGGCACGTACCTTTGTCACTATTGCCCGTTGTTGATGTGCTGACATGGTGTGCTGGTGTTGAGTGTGTGGCAAATCTGCAGTGCTGACGTGGCATCCCTCCTAGTAGATCTCTTGTTGCTGACGTGGCAGAAGTGCTTCGTTGGCATGCTAGGGGTGACACGTGGCATGCAAAGACTGTGCACTAGTTGTTGAGGGTCGCATTGTTCTGCAAATGATAAAGTAGAAGCTAACCATTGATTGTATTGATGTGCTGGCTTTCTACTTACCTGTTGTCTGTTCTGTGGATGCTGTGTGTACTCACAAGTGTGTTGTTATCTTGATCACACTGGCCGTGGCTGCGGTACCTGTAGCTGTAGGACATCATCACATAGGAAACAGACAACAAAGTTAAATTTAGAAATTGATTGAGAGTCGGCTTCTTTGTAGTTGCCTGTTTGTTTCTTGTTATAGGAGTTGCGTGTGTCGCGGAATTTATTATTGTCTTTTGATTTTATTTGTTGTGCGGCATTTACACGTTTGGAAAAATGAACTCTTTGTGGAAATGTCTGTGTGCCTCAATCTTGACACGACTCATTCCTCTTTTCTTCTTCCCTATCCCTCTCATGGTCTATGCCGATGAAGAAAGGGGGGACCTAAAGACCCGTGGGCAAATTTATACAAGAAAAATGACATTGATTGGTTTTCTCCACCAGTTTCTCGGTGAGGTACACGACACCGGTTCTGAAATTGAACAATGGATTCATGGCCAGTTCGATCTGCAAGCTGCAGAAAGCGAACTGGAAGCTGTCGAAACCGCCGTTCAAGTGATTGAGACCGGTAGAAAGGTTGAGGACCTCATAAAGCAAGGACAAATAATCCTTTACCGATACATCGCCGAGGGATTTGCCAAGATAGAATAGGAAAGAAAAAAGAGAAGAAAAGAAGAAAAGAAGAAGCAAGTAGAACCGCATCCGTCTGTTGAGGTGATGGAGGAAAACGTTAGACAATTAGAAAACACTCTGAGGGAAGAAAGGAGAAAGATTGAGGAGTTCCGAAGAATACAAGAAGCACATGAAGAAGAGGAACGAATAATGAATGAATTAAGACAAAAATTTCATTATGAGGAAGGAGGCAGCGAGCTTGCATCCATCCTTCAATCAATCATGATTTATCTTGTTTCCCTTGAAAAGAAGATTGACAGTAACATTGCGTCGTTAGAGACAATGACCAGAATCTTGAAAGGAAAGGACAAGTTAGGATTTGAGAAGGCGACCAGGGGGGAGTTAGTAAAGAAGGAACCCCAAGAGAAGTTAATGAAGGATGCCATGAAGCGAGCGGCGCCAAACAAAGCCGAAGGTTCTAAGAAAGAACCTGAGAGACCGACCGAGAAGAAAAAAGAACCCACTAAGAAAGAGGAACCGGTCAAAGAAGCGGAGAAGCCAAAGAACAAGGAAAAGAGTCAAAATGAAATTGCCGTTTACGTATAACAACAAGAAGGACAAAAACTTGTTGTTATGGATTGCGGAAATCCAGACTTACTGTATGTAGCATTGCACCCGTTGAGCCTGAGAGCCAGGTCACGTTCTCCACGTCTTGTCTGGGAGGAGTGGCCAAGGAATGGGTGCTGGCCGTCGTGGCCGAAGCCAATGCTGTTGGGTTTGAGGATATCGATGATTGGGTTAAGACCCTTGACCTCAAGCAGTTTCTCCAAAGGATCAAGGAGAGATTTCTTGATAAGACGACGACCGATAAGGCCTTCGACGAACTCACCACCAATGGCCAGAAACGTTGGACTTCGGTTGATGCTTTGTCGCGTGAGGTTGATCGTCTTTTGCAGGTACCTGGACTGAACCTTCCGGATAACCGGGTTCTCGATATCTACTCACGTGCACTGCCCGAGCCCATCCGTGGACTGCTTGTGGCCGAAGGTAAGTCTGGTAAGTATAACTATCGGCAGTTTCGCGATCTCGCTCTCTAAAGAGAGCAAATGACCACACAGGTAAAAGGAATTACGCTTCGGTAGTCAAATCGGGACCGGTTGGGGGATATGGCAAGCGGGTCCTTTGGCGGCAAAAGCGCCAGGACCACATGCTTGTGTTATTTGACGATGAGACTGTAGAAAAGTTACCACTCGAAGAATCAGAAGGAGGAGGTGGTACAGGCAGAAGTGAGTCTGGGAAGAGTGAAGTCACTGCTGTAATGGCCAACAAGGGAGGCCAGAACCAATGGAAAAAGAAGAGGAGGCCACACTCGTTTCCCAAGCATCCCGACATCGTGTTTGGGAGACCTTGGGAGAAAATGAACATGACTCGTGATGGCAGCCCAAGATGGACAGTTGTCAGTGCCTCAAGTGTGGCACCGTGGGGCACATGATAGCCTGGTGCCAACTTATTCGTAACCCAAAAACAAGATACTGGCTAATAAGAGCATGATCACTGTCTCTCGATACGTCGATCGTGTTAAGTGCTATTTCAGGACCAAGGAAGGCAAGAAGATTTTGCACGAGAGATCCTTTCTTATAGAGAAGAATTTACCCTTTGACATGATTCCGGGAATGGATTGGCATGAAGAAGCCGACCCAGAGGTCAAGTTCAAGGATAAAATTGTCAAACTCAAGGACGGAAAGTTCGAACTTCGAGCAATCAAGTTATATCATAGGTCTGGCACTGACTCTACTCTGTCTTTCTCTTGTTTGAGTTACCCAACTTTTCGTTCTATGGTAGTAAAAACGAAGTTGGATCAGGAGGTGCTTGTCAAGCGAGTAGGTGAGTGTTCCTCATCCTATCCACCTTCTATAAAAAAAACTTCTCGACGAATACAAGGACTTGCAAACTGAACCGACGAGAATCACTAAGCGTGCTATTAAGCACACAATCGAGATTATTCCCGAAAACAAGATTCCCAAGGGTCCCATCTATCGAATGTCTCCCAGGGAACTTGAGGAACTTCGGAAGCAGTTGTAAGAACTTACTGACAAGGGATGGATTCGCCCTAGCTCATCTTATGGTGCGCCTGTCTTATTCGTGCCCAAAAAGGAAGGTGAACTTCGTCTATGTATTGACTATTGAGGGCTGAATTCCGCCACTGTTAAAAACGCGGACCTCTTCCGTGCATTGACGATCTATTGGATCAGTTGCAGGGGTGTAGATACTTTAGCAAGATTGATCTCAAGTCAGGGTACCACTAGATAGAAGTGGCTCCTGAGAATCAACACAAGACGACATTCCGAACCAAGTATGGTCACTATGAGTTCGTGGTTATGCCATTCGGATTGACCAACGCACCTGCGACCTTCCAAAGGTCCATGAATGAGTTGTTTCGACAATGGATCGATCAATTCGTGGTAGTCTATCTCGACGATATTCTAGTGTAGAGTAATGTCTTGCAGAAGTTGCGTGAGGACAACTTCAAACTGAATCCGAAGAAGTATGAGTTTGCTAAACCTGACGTCTTGTCCTTAGGGCATATAGTGAACGAGGAAGGACTAAGGCTTGAAGAAAAGAAAATTACAACAATCAGAGATTGGCCACAACCTAAGACTATAACTGAACTAAGATCTTTCCTAGGACTTGCTAGCTACTATAGAAAGTTCGTCAGAAACTTCTCTCTAATAGCTGCTCCTATGAGAAGACTACCGAAGAAAGAAAAACCTTGGTTGTGGGATAAAGACTGTGAGTCATCGTTTTAGCATGTTCCGACTCACTATCCTGTCCTAAGGATTGCTGACCCTTATCTTCCTTTCATTGTCACCACTGGTGCAAGTCAGTATGAGATTGGGGCTGTGTTATATTAAAACGACCGTAAGGGTTATAGACTTGTTGAGTTTATGTCCAGGAGACTTCCGTCAGAAAAAGTGGCCAACTCCACATATGAAAGAGAATTGTATGCCTTAGTTGTTGCACTTGATACCTGAAAGCACTACTTGTTAGGGAGGCATTTCACTGTCTACTCTGACCACTCTACCTTAAAGTCGATCAAGACTCGGCCTAAGCTCTCCGACAAGTTGGTAAGGTGGTCCACTTTCCTTGATACATTTGATTTTGAGGTAAAAACCATCAAAGGTAATCTAACTTGGTTGCGGATGCTTTCTCCAAGTGTGCAAATTTCTTTGGAACCATTGTCTCCTATCTCGATATTGGAAACGAACTGAAAGAACAAATCCGCCAGGGTTAAGGGAATGATCCTATTTGGAGTCCTATTATTGAGACTCTACGAAAGAACCCCGAGTTGCTTCCAGAATATCGAATGACAGATGACTTACTCTTCTTGCTGGATAAACGTAATTGTATTTTTTCCATTTAAATGTAATGTATTTCTCTTTTTTTGTTATAATACAATTGATTTATTTACTTGTTGAGAAAACTGTATGATCCTATTTGGATTCCTATTATTGAGACTCTACGAAAGAACCCTGAGTTGCTTCCAGAATATCGAATGACAAATGACTTACTCTTCTTGCTGGATAAACGTGATTGTATTTTTTCCATTTAAATGTAATTTTTTATTTTTATTTTTTATAATACAATTGATTTATTCACTTGTTGAGAAAACTGTATTCTATTAAAAATTTAACTAATATTTATAGCAAAACATAGAATTGAATCACCTAGAAAGATTGTGTGTTCCTCACCTAGACTCAATCAAGAGTTTAATCATTGGGGAATGCCATGATGCGGAAGGTCGCGTTGGTTTTAAGAAGACGTATGCCGATGTGCGTGAACGATTTCAATGGAAAGGAATGAAAGAAGATGTACTAACCTATATGCGGACTTGTCTTGTCTGTCAGAGGAACAAACCCTCACATGAGAATCTGATGGGACTATTGAGACCGTTGCCTATTCCAAGTCAGTCAGGTGAGTCTATCTCTATTGACTTTATCAGCCTCACTAAGAGTCAAAATGACAACAGTCAGGTAACGGTCATCGTCGATAGATTCTCTAAGTATGCTATGTTCATTCCTTCACCTGCTGAAGCTAAAATTGAATTAGTCATTCAAAAGTTTCAAATGCGATGGGTCTCTGAGTATGGATTTCCCAGAACCATCGTATCTGACAGAGATGTTCGGTTCACCAGTCTACAATGGCAGAAGTTGATGGAAGTCTATTGGACCAGGTTAACCATGTCGTCAGGCCGACATCCTGAAACAAATGGCCAAACTGAGCAACTGAATCGTCTCTGCCAACAACTTTTGCGAATGTATGTCCGTCCTGATAAGACTGATTGGGATGAAAACTTGCCTAAAATTGTTAGTGCGTATAACAACAGTATACATATTGTGACAGGTAGAATGCCTAATGCATTGCATAAAGGATAGAGCCTAGGCGTCCCATTGATGCACTGACCAGAGACCAGATTCAAAGGCTACCCCCAGGTACGTGTGAATTCGCAGTTTTGTACGAAGAAGACATTAAGAAGGTAAAGGAAAACATACAGAAATCCCAACTCAAATGATCGAACAAGCTAATAAACATCATCGTCCTTCACAATTTCAAGAAGGGGACTTTGTTTAGGTTAAGTCTAAAGAGTTTTCCTTAGAAGAAAATGTGTCTCGGAAACTGCTACCTGTCTACTACGGACCCTGGGAAGTTCTCAAAGTGATTGGAGGTGAAGATGGACCTTCCTATCGTATAGATGTGCCTCCACATCTACGGACATAGCCTGTCTTTCATGTATCTAAACTGCTACCCTACGTAGAAAGTGATAACTTTCCGGATAGACCATCTCCATTTCCACCCTCTATGAATGGAGGCTATGAAGTTGAGAGGATATTGGAGCATGGCTATTTTTCTACAGGTGGCAGAGGACGACCTGCGAAGCATTACAAGGTAAAGTTCAAGTCCCAACCTCCATCTGAGGCCAAATGGTTTAGTAGGAAATAACTCCTATCCACTGCTCCTGATATTGTTGCTGCATATGAACGTGGGTTAACTGAGAGTTGATGTAATTTCTGTGATGGAACTCGAAAACTGGGCCGGCAGGAATGCAATAACCCATGCCATATGTCTTGTGGAAGTTGAGGGTCCTTTGAGGGCCTACTTGGCTGCCCTCAGCCCCGGCCAAAACAGGGGAAAAGACCCCACACTAACTCAGGGCCTGGGTGTGTGACAGTTGACTTTAGTTAACTGTCGGTCCATCCAACAGTCAAAGTCCAAAGGTACCTAGCTTAGGCCACTGGTCAAGCACAAACACTTGTTTGTATGCAGGTACCCAGGCAGCATCAGGTCCAAGCGAGAAGTCTGCAACTGTACAATCCGGGCCTTCAGATGTGAGTCAATCTGGACGACTGAGGGAAAGCACTGAGGCCAGGCAGCCTCGGTATCTGCTATTGAAGGCTGGCCTCGAGGGAGTCAAGCATTCAGTCTTGCTATGCCGCTTTGACGCTGGCTCGACTTTGACTAGACGCTGGCTTCATGCTGGCACGACGCTGGCTACACGCTGGTTGTGCTCAGGCGTTGTGGACGACGGCACGAGGAGGAGGCAGCATGCTGGCGCTTCCTGCATTATGCGCCAGACTTTCTGAGATGGCATGCTGATGTGGTGCTACCTATGGTCTACATTGCATGCTGATGTGGCGCTACCTCTGGTCTATATTGCATGCTGATGTGGCGCTACCTCTGGTCTCTGATGTGGCGCTACCTCTGG